AATCCACTCAAATGGAAAGAGTCTCCTGGATGACAAAGGTCCAGACACACAGAGAGAGAGAGAGGCACACATATTGGACAACCATTCCAAATACCAAAAATCAGTCTAAGTGTGGGTTTAAAACACATTGTTACATATCAATAGTGGTTTTGTGGACACTGTAGAAACAGATATAAACCAAGCCCTGTGATTTCTCCTTAAAGAGTTTAAAACATTTATTTTCTCACTAAACCAAAGGACAGTTTTCATTGGAGAATTTTTAAGAAAACATTTGGCCATGTGTTGTAAATGCTCCGTATTTGTATAGCACCTTTCTAGACTTTTCAACCACTCAAAGCGCTTTTACACGACATCTGCATTCACCATTCCCACTGAGCCCAAGTGCTCAAACAGAAACTAACATTCATACACTTGGATTGAACCAGCGATGTGCTCATGTGTGTTTCTCTGTCTGCAGAATCCGAACCTGATGTGTCCCATTCTGCGTCCAGACCTGCCAAACTGCTGCGTTTATATAATGTGTTAATATTTCTTTGTTCCTCTCTCTGTGCTGGAGTTCGTTAAGAACGTGGTTGCTTGATCCAGATTATTATTAAATTGGAGTGTAAGAGTGTGACAGTTGACAGTTGGCGCATTCAGCCTCCTCTTGTGCCGAAAGCTTTTTCTTCTTAATTCTTATTTTTTCGGCACCACACATTTCTTTTTCCTCCTTCTTTCTTTTTGCTATATTTACCATCTCTGTTGCACTTGTCACAACCCTGGGCTCGGCTGAGTTCAGCCCAGACAAAACGTAGCAAACCGGTGTAAAAGGTTTTTGGATTAAACTCGCCCCAGATGGAAAGTAAACTCCTCTGCCAATCAGAATTCAGCAAAAACGATGATCAGTCCAAGTTGGGAGGGGCCGTTCGTATCCCCCCCTCAATATTGAAAGTAAAACATTCAGTAAAATCGGATCATTCAGTAAAACATTAGAAACTGAAAAATGTCAGTATTTAGGGACATTAAACCCGTTTAATCTAAGAAAAGACATATGAAACTGTAGGCTAATTGGTTGTCCCTTCTCTTGCTTCTCCAAAATCTAACTTGGACAAAACAGTAAATATTTGTATAATTTTTTTTTTAGGGGTGCTTAGATGAAATTTAGGTGTGCTCAGCGTAATATTAAGTTTTTTGTATTGTATCTAAAAATATTATTCTTCAAATATCAGGGAACTCAGATATGTGGGAGAGATTGTGCAAAAGTTTTGAACATGAGCAGAAAACCTGCTGAAACACATTCTTTTAGTTTGGATTTGGTCTCCTGAGAAAAAAGATCTTCTCTCTTCTTCTAATTTCGAATTTGTGGCACTTTTGCTGATACTAAACAACTCAGTAGAACTTCTTGTGATGTGATTCTTGGCACTATGAACGAATCAATATCGAAGAATATTGAAAAAGCTGTAAAAACAGCATTGACATATTATCACTGTGTAAAGTTGTCATGGTGATTGTCGCCCACTTACACATCCAGCAGACACAGAGCAAGATTAGTGTCACATTTACAATGACTGAAGACATTATTAAATTAAAGTTATGCTTGAATTTGATTTAACTTTCCCCTCCAATCCATTGTTGAAGATATCATGGGTAGGTTTTACAAATCTTGTAAACGCACACACATATGGTTGAATGCACATCTTCATAACAATTAATGTCATTGCTTCATGTCACCTCAACAAAACGTCTCGGGTTACATATGTAACCATTGCTCCCCGAGAAGGGGAACGAGACACTGCGGTGACGACACTATGGGAACGCCCCTGGGCGTGGCAGGGCTGAACTATGAATGAAACTACTCCAATCCTATTGGTGTTACTAGAACGATAGTGTGTGACGGCGTAACCGGAGGGGGTATATAAGCACGCCGGCACATAGGACACATTAGCCCTTTCTATGAAGCGAGGCACTCCAGGCGGGGTGAGGTGTGGCGGACCGACGCAGTCTCGTTCCCCTTCTCAGGGAACAAGGGCTACATACGTAACCCGAGACGTTCCCCTTCGAGGGAACTCGAACTGCGTCAGTGACGACACTATGGGAACGAGATACCCACTTAGGCCGCACCGAAACCCCGCCTGCCCCCAGTGTGCAGAACCTGACGGCACGACTAGGAGGAGAGCGCACGGGTGCCGGGTGCAGAATGCAGGTCCAGACTGTAAAACCAGATAAAAGTGTGAGGGGTGGCCCAGCCAGCCGCATCACACAAATCCTGGAGTGACGCCCCTGCGAGGAGGGCCCTAGAAGCCGCCATGCCTCAAGTAGAGTTCGCCCTTACAGCCATAGGTGAAGGCAAACTGCGCACCTGATAGGCCAGGGAAATAGTCTGAACGATCCAGTTGCTGATGGTGAGTTTAGAAGCGGGGAGCCCAGAAACACACCAGCAACTGTTCTGCTTTCCTCCACCAGGAAGACCTCAGAGTGTTCATACTCAGTGCTCTGACAGGGCAGAGCAGATGAAGTCTCCCGTCCTCCGCCGTCACATGAGGTGGGGGATGAACCTTAGGGACATAACCTGGACAAGGGTGCAGGATGGCCCTGAGCCTCCCCGGGGCAAACTCCAGGCATCGGGGAGACACCGAAAGTGCCTGGAGATCCCCCACCCTCCTCAGAGAGGTGATAGCGAGGAGAAAGGTCATCTTAAGGGTCAGGTGCTTGGCCTCAGCCGACTCCAGGGGTTCGAAGGGGGCCTCAGCCAGCGCTTCGAGAACCACTGCCAGGTCCCAGGTGGGAACCCTGGAACGAGTCACGGGTCTGATCCTCCGGGCTCCACGGAGGAAGCGCACGACCAGCAGAAGCCTCCCTGAGGGCCCTGCAATGGCAGCCACATATACTTTGAGCGTGGATGGTGAGAGGCCAGTGGAGAAACGGTGCTGGAGGAACTCCAGTATCACAATTACCGAGCAAGTAACTGGGTCCACCGCCTGTTCTCTGCACCAGGTGGTGAACACATTCCACTTTAGGCCGTACATCCTTCTCGTGGACGGGGCACTGGAGCTGAGCAGCGTTTCGACTGCAAAGAAGAAACTTGTGGAAGCTACTTAATGACTTTAGCTTTCTATAGGATCAGGTTCAGTTTCTCAAAACCTGAAAATTTCAGAGCATAACATTAAATCGCACCATGTTAGGAAGGGAGATCTAAAGGGAGATCTAAACTACACCAGTTTCCCACTGCTGCGCTCGTTAGTGTAAGTATGTGCAATAAAACCTTCGAGACTAAAATTATATTACTTTACCAACCAACCTGTGTGCAGAAAGCGTTATTTTAATCTGCTCTCTCATCTTCTGTGTTAACCTTACAAGCTAACAGCTAACGTTAGCATGGCAATTAAAGTTAGCCAAATGTTACAAACAAGCTAAATTAAAGGCTGTCTGTGTGTAACATTAGTCTAACTGTTTAGCTTAGTTTGCCCTGTAGCTTACAACTTGCCACACTGTTGTAAACTGGTTGAAACGAGCCAGCTGCTCCTGCACCATGACAAACTGTTCTCACATCAACTCGACGTCAGATAAATAACAATACATGATACAAATGTTGACTGGCAAGATAATGTTGGTAACGATTGCAAAGATATCTACATGACAATTACGTAGATAAAGTTTTCGGGATGTTTGCAGTCAGTGGATCCTAAAACTCATGCCTGTGACACATCATCACCAGTTAATTTCCACCAGTTAAACTGTCACAGTGGCAGTAAGGTTAAATGACTGCAGAGATAACAGGAGGAAACACTGAAACAGACTGATCTCTTCATTCTTTGTATACATCACTCAGTGCTGTCGTGTCAGATGTTGGCTTTATATTGACTTTGCTGTTGTTAACATTCATTTTGCTGCTCTATAAACAGCATTTAGTTGTATTTAGAATATTCAACACAAACCCTATATTGAATTAAAAAACAACCAGGCAGCCAATATGCACACTTCAATATTTTTTTATATTTATGGTAAGCGATATCATCATCTGAATATATAACTATTTTATTGCAGATTTTCCTCCCATCGTTCAGGCCTTCCTCACGCCCTTGTTCGCTTCATCTCTTATTTGTCTGTTGGTTGCTAGGATGGCTGAACACGCAAAATGGTCAAAGGCTCAGACATATTTAATTTAAAGCCAGAGATAGTGCTTGCAGTTAATATTGACAGACTAATGAAGTGTTGCAGGCTGCGGTTTTGAAGGCTGGTTTGAAGTCAGTATATCAGAGAGCAGTAATTGTGTCTCACACACACACACACACACACACACACACACACACACACACACACACAGTGTAACAATACACCAAATCCAGGTTCAGTTCAGACTTTGATTTTAGATCCACGGTTCGGTTCATGTTGCGGTCACCACCCTTTTATGTTTTGGAAAAAGGTGAAATGTGTCAAAAAAACTGCATCATGAGATGCTCTGGCCTACAAATCTTGTTCTTGAGATTTAAGAAGTCATGTTTGTTTTGTTACAGACCCCAGTTTCTTTCACATAGTGATATATTTAATAGTTTATTCAGTGATTCCCACACAAAGTGAGTTATATGGCAATATCATGTTTTTACCACTGATTTGTTCCGACTAGTGATTAGTATCATGGTCAAAAGGTATCACTGAGTGTGTTTCGGGGTATACCCTTTGGTTATATTGAGCATTTCATGTGGGATGACTCAGTTTGTGTTTTTTCCCTACACTTTCATAGAGTTCTCCATCCCAGCTGGCAGCAGAGGCATCAGAGTTTAGGTTCATAGGTTCTTCAGACTGATTAGGTTGTTAAAAAAAAAGTTCAGTTCATTGGCCTTGTCCTTGAGGAGAGATAAACCAGTGCGCAGGAGAAGATAGTAAGGCCAGCTGCAAGTCGTTAACATATAAATAACATTTATCCGGATCAGTGTCCTCCAATCGCTCTCATCCTCAGCGTCATACGTGCATCCAGTTCATGTAGTAATTTCGACATTTCTTCTAATTTCATTGTCAGGCCAGTGGTTACTCTCAGCAGCTCACCAGACTGCGCCCCGATGGTGTCAATCCTCCTCTGCGCTTCCACAGACCGGTCTGAGATGTTACGAAACAGTTCACCGTACTGATCAGCCCTTTGATGTAAAACCTTCAGCTTGAGTTTATGATGAGATGGGAACTAATGTGGATGCAGACGTCTCTGAAGAAGTAGCACAGCAACCCAACGCTGGTGTGTTTACTATCAGATCTGACAAAGGTAAACCTGATTCCCATTTCTTTCACAATAGTCCATGGATTATGACTAAGACCCAGTTACACTTTAGTTGTGAAAAACCAACAAATTGTGTTTATTTCTTCGCTCCTCTCTCTCTCTCTCCTGAACTACACTTAGAGTCCAAGGGGACAACCTCTTCCAGCTCTTCCCAGTCCACCAGGCCACTGCTTGATGTCATAACCAAGTCAGCACAGTAAGTTTCAGCTTGTGGCTCGAATGATCCTGGATGAGATTTATTGTGAGAGCCTCCTTTGCACAGTTTTTTGATTGGTAGCTATTTCTGTAGGTGTATTTACTGTAAGTTGTTCATGATTATTTATTTTAGTGAATACTGTCTTGTCTTCTACTCCTTTCACAGTTGGTTGAATCTGCACTGACCAAGAAGATCAAAGAATCTGGGTGAAAGGATGGATCAGCACACGCAGGTAGCAGGGATTGTCTGAGCTGCAGAGAGAGCTGGAGGTGAGTTAAAAGGTGCAGTTCCCAGACTCAACTCATGACTGTGAGGTTAAAACTCGCAGCCCAAAAAGGAGAACAACAAACACACGTGTGGACATCTTCAGCTGAGGACTGCGACTTACTTTGGCTTCAACTCAACAATCATTCATGACTTCAGTTAAATGTTGAAGTTGCTGTTACTGTTACCTTGTCTGTGGTCCGCTGGCAGGACACCGGCTTCTGTCTGGTCAGGTACCGTCGTGCAGTTGCTGAGGCGACATAAATTTTGTTTGGAGGTGGACGGACATTACAGAGTTGGTTTTTTTTCTTTAGCTTGAAATAATCCCATACTTTGCACACTTTCTTCATTGTCCCTCGCTGTTTTCTCTCTCTTCTTCCTCCACTTTTCAAACAGCTGCATCATAATCACGTCCTGTTTACAGCGTAAGCGCGACAGTAACAAATGTCCTTGCGAAACAATGTTCTGTATAGTTACATGGATTAAACGAAGCATCGATGCAAGGGGGGGAGCACCTGCACATCAATAATTTCATCCATTCAGTCTTGAAGGGAGATGAAACCTGGTAATTATTGGCGATGAGATATTTTGATACAATCTGTGCACGGAGAAGAGATTTCTGAAACCGTTACACACTGCGGTTTTATAGTTTGTAAATCTTTACAGAATGAGTTGTGAACAGCTGTGTAGATATAATTCAGATGTGACTGACTGCAAGAAGAGACTAATGTGCTTTGAAATATCATTTCCTCCCCTTCCATTACAGTCCGGTGTCAAGATCCCACTTTGTCCAGCTCCGAAGCATCTTGCAAGGTGATGGACCGGCAACAGACTCTGCCCCAGAGAACCACGTGGATATTGAAAGAGTATTCGAAAGAAATCACTTCATCAACGAAGATGAATTCTTTCATCCAGGATTCGACTATGATTTCACCAATTTGAAAGACACCGAGACTTATTACAGAGGAGGAGAGGTGTATCAACGCCCATGTGGATGGCAGCGTTTTGCCCTCAAGGTAAATATGCTTTTGTTTTACTTGACATTTAATCCCAGAGTTTCCGTCCAGTTTTTTTGTGAAACACGACTGCAAATTTTGTTGAATGTAGAAAACGTAAAAAAAGTAAAAATAAATAAAAAATAAAAAACGAGACATTGGCGCAGTAAAGGCTTCTTTCTGGCAACTCGACCGTGCAGCTCATTTTCGTTTCAAGTACCGTCGCATTGTGGTCCTTGCAACAACCACACCATCTTTTTCCAGAGCAGCCTGTATTTCTCCTGACGTTACCTGTGGGTTCTTCTTTGGATCCCGACAGTTATTTTGCATGACGAGTCATATTTTCAAAATTAATGCCAAAATTAAAAAACATTATGCCAGGCTATGCAAACCTATTAGCACAACTGTATGTACATATATATATTTATTATTTGCCTATATTTGGGACAGGCCTTTAATTCCTTTTCCACAAAACTCCCAGAATATATAATAGCCTACTGTAAAATTATTTAACCAGAAATTTTATACCATTTCAACCAGTAGGAATATTACTTGTAGTCTATTAAAATTAGGCTATTGGATAACACATCAATTACAATTAATTTATTTTATCAACCTCTGAGAGAAAGTGCATCCAACCTCATGCAGAGACGTAGATGAAATGAATTGTTCTTTTGTATTATATTTTAATTTTATAATTTCCTTTGAAAACCACAAAAAAACAAGTTGTTTTTCTGTTTTAAAACCAAAATGGAAAAATGGTAAACAACAAACAGACATCTATTTTTATTTAAACTCATAACGGAAAACAGGGTGGCTAATTGGGTCTGGGTATCTCTGGATAATCCGTAATTCGTTTGTAATTCTAAAACAAAAATACCGTTTATCTGTTTTTTGTTTCAAAACGAAAAACGAAGTAATCGTTTTTGGTTTCAGAATCAAACAACGAAAAACCAATTCAACGAACAAAGAATGAAGAGAGTCGGTCTGGGAATTACAGAATATCCACAGATACCCGGACCACTAACATGTCCTGTTTATGTCCACACATGCCTTTAAAACACCAGAGTTGACGGTTGAACCACAGGCAGATACATTTTTTGATGATGAGGGAGCTGTCGTGGCAAAACATGTTTCCTCTAGTTAGGGTGAGATGAATAGCAATTCAATTCTCCCGGTTTTCATGCAGTTGATACGCAGATAGGAGACTTCTGCACAAACCTCATAGGGACACAGAGAGAAGTCTAATAATAATCATACTTTATCCTTAGGTTATACTTATTTGTGCATATTTTTCATTTTGTTTTGGCAGCTACAGCAAGCACATGAGTATTTTAACACACCAATTCAATAACAGAACAAAGCACACTGAAATCATGTAAGGTTTTTATTACAATGAGCTCAGGGCGAAACAGTCAACAAAGATCAAGACAAAATATATACTTGAGTTACAACAGTAATTAGAGCCTAATTACAAGTGATACCCGAAGTTAAGATTGTCAACATTTTCTAAATCTTTTTATTCAGAAAGATTTTCAATAAAACCAAACTAATATCTGTTACTAATTCACAGTTTCAACATTTAACTAGAGAGACCACAAACTTCTGTGTAACTACAAAAAGTGAAGGTCTAACTTTTGTAGATATTTTAAAAAGATTATTACAAGAAATATTTTGTAATAATATATTTATAACATTGTGATCCAAATATCTACAGAAAGTGAAAGTCTAACTTTTGTAGATATTTAAAATATATTTAACACATTATATATATTTTGTAATAATATATTTATAACATTGTGATCCAAATATCTACAGAAAGTGAAAGTCTAACTTTTGTAGATATTTAAAATATATTTAACACATTATATATTTTGTAATAATATATATAATAGTGATTAACCTTTAATATTTGATCAATTCAACATATACTCACTCCGCTCTGGGGACCTGATAAGGCCGTAAAGGGCTCCTGTTCCCCAAAGTTGAGTTAAGGTCCTTTAGAAACAGATGAACTACCGCAGTGTTAAAATCTGTGGTAATTTGTTCAATAATAGGTAAAATTGAACTATAGTTAACAATTTCATTCCAGTTCTTTGTCAGAATATCAATAATTGTGTCATGGACCAGTGGGTGAAATGCGAGTGATGAAATAATTTTCACTGCACAGGCCACATGTTGGTCTTTTGTCAGATTAACTGAATTTTCTGCCAGTTTCTTAAATTTTTCGAGACACGATTTAATATCCCCATTTAGTTTTTTTCTTTGTTGTGTGTCCTTAACAGTAGAGATTGTCTGGTAGATTTCCAAAAAAATGTTTTTATTGAAATAGTCAGTGTTCAATTTGAAAGGAATTTCCTTGTATGTTTCTACATAGGGATAAAAACAGCTGCTGGGACTTGAGATGTCAGAGTACTTGAGATCTACAAAATAATTTGGACCCTTTAGTCCCCAAAACTTTGTGAATGCCACATAAGTAAAAAATCCATATTTACTGAGCCACTGATCAGCCATCTCTAAAAGTTTAAACATACATGGCTTAATATGTTTTTTTCTCTTCAAACATGGACTGTTGAGAGTATAAATTAAAATACTCTGAACATTTGTTCCATTGTTTGGTAGAAATTCATCAATTTGTCTCATTAAAATTTCCTCACTGTGTGATGTAACTTCAGTGGAAGGAGAAGCAGAATTTTTGCTCTTCTTGTCTCGATAATATGGACAAACTGCATGAAAAAGGTTAGATGTACCATTTTTCATTTCAACAACAGCATATGCAAATTGTTTGTCCCCCTTTATGTTTATTGTGGTCATTGTTTTGCTCCAAAACTCCATGTCTCCATGTCTAATAACCAATTCATTGTTTACATTTGAAAATAATGTCATTATTTGCTTAAAAAGTTGCTTTTTATAACGACAAGTTATTAGCTTCATGAAATTGTCTTTTAATGACATAATTTCTGTTCTTGATGTCAGTGAAGGGTAGCGTTGATCCTCCTGCTGCTGGTCCTCTTCCCTGGATAATGAAAAAGGGGGAACTTAGTTTAATCCACATGAAAAAAATCTTGTGCTAAACAATTTGTCATTTAACCTTTCAGCTGCAATGTTCCCCATACGCTGCAACTGTAAGCTGCCAACTGACTGAATGAATTGAACTCTGTGGTAGTGTGTTAGGTGACGAACACGTCGGGTTTATCTAAAGTCTGCGTAGGGAGGGGGTCGGGCTGGATGGATGAGTCACCAAAAAGTTTAACTTTAACCTCTGCCCTAAAAGGAAGTAGTAATTTTAACCCACTCCATGATCTTTGCTTAACCCTAACCGGATTTATTTTTCAAAGGGAGTTTTTTATGGGTTTGGAAGTACCAAACAAAATATACTCACCGGCCACTTTATTAGGTTCACCTGTTCAATTGCTTCTTAACACAAATAGCTAAACAGCAAGTCACATGGCAGCAACTCAATGTATTTAGGCATGTAGACATGGTCAAGACACTTGCTGAAGTTCAAACCGAGCATCAGAATAAGGACAAAATGGGATTTTTGTGACTTTGAACGTGGCATTCTTGTTAGTGACAGACGGGCAGGTCTGAGTATTTCAGAAACTGCTGATCTACTGGGAATTAAACGCAGACGGGCTACAGCAGCAGAAGACCACTCTAGGTGCCACTCCTGTGAGCTAAAACCAGAAACTACAGTTCACACAGGCTCACCAAAATTGGACAATAAGATCTGAAAAAACGTTGCCTGGTCTGATGAGTCTCGATTTCAGATGGTTTGCTGAAGTGACTAAAGAAAGAGGTGCTTAACACCATAACTGATGCCTTGTCTTCTGTATGTATGAATGTATGTGTGTTGTAGAGCAGCACAAGCCCCGTTGTTAGTAGTGAATGGGTCACTGGTGTGGGATTTTTTTCCTTTTATAAGCAGATTGATTGATTGTGTATCTGTGTTTGGTGTGGGTTTTGTTTTGCATGTGTGATTGGTTAAGTTGTTTTCCTGCATGCATAGTTTCTATGTTAGTTTTATTTCTTACAAATGATTGCCAAATGAGAACTACTGTGGAGAGTGGACTGTGTGTAACTCTGTGACTGCTGTGACCATTCTGTTTAGGCAACACAGTCTCACTCCCTACTCGTCAAAAGGCCCTTTGTCGTCGCTTTTTAAAGACTTGGGTAGCCCTTTTGCATCAATTATTGACGTTTAGGGATCCACAGTCAAGTTAGCAACGCTTAGCAACAATAAATATGCAATATCCGGTTACACTTTCAAGATAAAACGTAACGTTTCGATACATTGCCATGTTGAAACGCGCATAATTAAAGTCGTGAAACGTTGCAGTTTCGTTAGGTTTAGGCACAAAAAGTACTTGGTTGGGTTTAGGCAACAAAACTACTTGGTTAAGGTTAGGAAAAGATCGGGGTTTGGGTTAAAATAGCTATGTATGTCAATTAAGACTTAAGTTAACTTACGTTAATGTCAATTTACCTCACTCGCCTAAATAAAAACATTTAATGTTTTGTTTCGCACGCGACACAAACCCTGTTCTCCTGCTTCAAGGTCCGGGTTCTGGCCCTCTATCCACCCCAATCACCTCCTTACTTCGTCTTTTCTCTTAAATATCATACTTGCCTTTACCATCAAAAACTGACACAACAGGGCTTCCCTCAATACGTCGAACTATGACGTCAAAGGGATCCCTGGTGCGTCACAAACCGATGGATTCAGGCATGGCCCACGGCCATTACTGAATGTTTTAGATATTTTAGAGCCCTTTTTATACAGATCACTTTTAACTCCTTTATCCTGTTTAATTTAATAAACACTGGTTTACACCGGTTTAAACCGGTACTGGTCTGAGCCTTGTTTGTTGTCTGGTGCAGCTTGTTCCCCCAGCAGAGTCCAACCTACATAGTGTCGGTCACACCTACATAGTCCATTGTCATGGGACCAGTTGACATAACTGAGTAACAACATTTCATTTCTTGAAGTTTACCTTTGGGGTATGAGGTGCGGTACCTTGGTTGATAACATCTCTCCTCTCTTAAGCATTTCTTGAACTTGTTGTCCGCTTCTGTCCGGCTGAGAGAAAAAAAAAACAGAAGAAGATTTAAGTTACTGGTGAAATGAACTGTACTGCCTACATGCTTCACCTATAGTCTGACAACCACTCAAAGTATTTTACACTCCCACAGAGTAGCCCATCGTTACCTCCATCCAAAAGATAATTTAGAGTAAACGTGTAGCTACTGCTTAAAATTTGGTTTGATGCTTTTTATACCAGGACTTCATTTGGCACATTAATGCGAACTTGTTCAAAATTATCGTGACTTACAAGACGGCAACCAAAGCGACCCGGAAAACTGAAAACCTTATTCCCTCAGTCAGTTTCCTCTCTGAACGACCGTGTGAACTACTATGGGGCAGTTCTTGAACGACCGACGTTTATTAAAAATCCCGACAGCCTCCTGACATTGTTCACACATTCCTGTAGGGTGTTTTCCTGTAATTAAAAGTGTGCTGTTCAGATTGCTACGCCCACTTCTCAGCCTGCTTATTATCACCTGGTCGTTTCCTCTTTGCTCCCCTGCTTCTTGATACACCTACTCTGCTTTCGATTTCGTGGAAATGTCTCCCTTTTATTGCATTATCCCAGCTCTGTTGCCATTGTTGATTTACACTTCTCCACACTATGCCTTTCCCCTCTGATTTTGATAATTTAATGTTGACTTCAACATCTCCTTTTTGTAACTGCTTCTTTTGCCACCTTATATATTATAATATTTTCCTTGTACTTACATTCCCTATAGCTATAATATACACTAGTTAAATCAGCATTCTTATTATTGTGTTTAATCTTAAATAGTTCCAAATCTTCACATGGTGTTTCTAATTCCCAGGTCTGACAGGTCACACCACATTTGCACCTAACTATTTATTATACCCCTCTATCCTTTGCTATTTGCTCCCCTGTCCACACAAAACTTGTTTTTTGTGTTGTCTCCTTCTCCAGCACCCTTTTTGCTGGATGGCCTGGATCTCCATGCCCTCTTAAACTGATCCAGTAATTAGCCCCCAGCTGCTTTCTTAATTTTATCATTATTCCTTTTTGAACTTCAGTCAATTAGTTTTTTCGTTATAGACCATAAACTTGGATGTCTCTTGGTCTGTACTATTATAAAACCTTCTACTGTGTGATTAGCAAGCAAACTAAAATAACGTTTTTAATAAAACTAAAACAACTTTTTTTTAGTAAAACTAAACTAACAAATGTTTAGTTCTCCCTAACAGCCAGAGCATTGTTGACCTGTAACTTCAAGTGAACCAATGTTAAATGTAGCTTAGGACAGCAGTTCGCCTGTTTAAGTTTCTATTATTTAATTCATATTTTAGTTATAGGCCTTCTTGCTATATGGGAGCTCAACCAGCAGAGGTCCCTCTACCTCCTTCTGTGGCGCCAACAGGCAACAAGGTTCTCACCTTTTGACTTGTGTTTATATCAAAGAGAAGGCTGGCGCTGCAACCAGAGGAAGCTAATCACTGAGTTTGAAGGATTTGCAGAACTTCACCTGCCTCCCAGCTGCTCTTTCTATGGTGCTATAACTGCTGAAATCTCTCAGCTTCAACAATCTACTGCTGCCCAAACAAAACTCTTCCAAAACAAATCTGTGGAGTTGCAAACTTTTCTATTTATGCGATTTTGAGATATTTAATTTGCCACATAAATATAAAGTATTATGTTACTTAATTAGATGAAACACTTTTAATTCAGCCTGTTCAGCCTCCAAATTAGTTATGCAGGCCTTTGTGAAACCTGGTGACCATTGTGAGTAAAAAGCATCTTTTACTGCCTTTCTTGGGTTTAATTCTGTATGATGAACCATCAGGGAAAGGCAGTGATGGTGACCAAATCACAACAACAGTTATCTCACAGCGCTTTTCATAAAAGAGCAGGTCTAGACCGTACTCTGTGATGTTATTTACAGAAGCCCAACAGTTTCCCACCAAGAGCAGCACTAGGCGACAGAGGCAAGGAAAAACTTCCTTTAAGAGGCAGAAACCTCGAGCAGAACCATGGATCTGCCTCGACCGGTTCGGGGTGAAGGAGAGAGAGGGAGAGAGAGAGAGAGAGAGAGAGAGAGAGAGAGAGAGAGAGAGAGGGAGGGAGGGGGATGGAAGGAGAGAGAGGGGAGGGAGGCAGCCTACACAATATACACACAGAGGTGCAGACAGTAAAGGTGATGTTGCTATAGACTGAATGAAAAATGGTACAGATATTTACAGTAATGTTGATGAATCGTAATGTTAATGATATTAATAACAATAATAATAACAATAGTTGTTGCAGCAGAGGGTGTCGAGCAGGAACACGGGGGCAGCAGGAGACCTGCAGCCACAGATCCAGAGCCAGAAAACCTGCAGGAAGTGATAGGAGGAGAGAGGAGAGGGACGAGAAAGCACAAGACTACCGGAAAGGGGAGAAGTTGTGTTAGTAACATGCAATAATGGGATGAGGTTGCATACAGAGGGAGAGAAAGTAGAGGAGAGAGGAGCTCAGTGCATCATGGGAAATCCCCCGGCAGTCTAGGCCTATAGCAGCATAACTAAGGGATGGTTCAGGACTCACCTGAGCCAGCCCTAACTATAAGCTTTATCAAAGAGGAAAGTCTTAAGCCTACTCTTAAATGTGGAGATGGTGTCTGCCTCCTGAACCCAAACTGGAACCTGGTTCCACAGGAGAGGAGCTTGATAGCTGAACGCTCTGGCTCCTAGTCTACTTTTGGAGACTCTAGGAACCACAAGTAACCCTGCATTCTGGGAGCGCAGTGCTCTGGTGGGGTAGTAAGGTACTATGAGCTCTTTAAGATAAGATGGTGCCTGACCATTAAGAGCTTTGTAGGTAAGAAGAATGATTTTAAATTCTATTCTGGATTTTACTGGAAGCCAATGCAAAGAAGCTAAAACTGGAGAAATATGATCTCTTTTCCTGGTCAATAGTGGTTTAGTGGAAACTGTATATGAAACTTACACCCTGTGATTAGTTGACCAAATTGCAAAAACATATTTCTCACTAATTCTGGGTTCTGTGTTTGGAGACATCCAAGGTACTGATCATTGATGTATGTTGAAATATGATAAATTCTGTGTTGATCTGAGATATATTTTGAAGCACAGCCAGGATTTGTCCAGCTCCTCTGGACCGAACAGAGTAACAGTTTTAATGTATGAGGAGGTTTGAGAAAGTAAGATTGCTGACAAAGTTTGGGAGTTACTGATTGCCCAAGGAGCTTCTCACATGAAAAGTCGCAGGCAAGATAGGATATTTTTCGGCATCTAAATTTTTTTTGATTCGGATGAGATTAGAATTTTTTTGTCAGGAGATCAAAATATCACCACGGTGATCTATGTATTATTTTAATAAACCATATTATATTGATTTTCTTCCCAGGCTCCTCAGGTTTTTCTTCTGCTCAGCTGGGGCAGTGAAAAAAAGGGTTTCCACGACAGAGGTGTAAGAAACTAAATGTAAATTTTCACATTATATTTGATTGTATGCATACTTGTGTCAAACCTCCTGTTACTTTATTAAGTGGCTCAAAACCAGAAGAAGAGGTGGAGCAATATAAAAATGAAAACCAAGCTAAAAGAACCAACAGATTCTGTGCAAACAAACTATAGATAACAGTTAAATAAACAAAATCCACTCAAATGGAAAGAGTCTCCTGGATGACAAAGGTCCAGACACACAGAGAGAGAGAGAGGCACACATATTGGACAACCATTCCAAATACCAAAAATCAGTCTAAGTGTGGGTTTAAAACACATTGTTACATATCAATAGTGGTTTTGTGGACACTGTTGAAACAGATATAAACCAAGCCCTGTGATTTCTCCTTAAAGAGTTTAAAACATTTATTTTCTCACTAAACCAAAGGACAGTTTTCATTGGAGAATTTTTAAGAAAACATTTGGCCATGTGTTGTAAATGCTCCGTATTTGTATAGCACCTTTCTAGACTTTTCAACCACTCAAAGCGCTTTTACACGACATCTGCATTCACCATTCCCACTGAGCCCAAGTGCTCAAACAGAAACTAACATTCATACACTTGGATTGAACCAGCGATGTGCTCATGTGTGTTTCTCTGTCTGCAGAATCCGAACCTGATGTGTCCCATTCTGCGTCCAGACCTGCCAAACTGCTGCGTTTATATAATGTGTTAATATTTCTTTGTTCCTCTCTCTGTGCTGGAGTTCGTTAAGAACGTGGTTGCTTGATCCAGATTATTATTAAATTGGAGTGTAAGAGTGTGACAGTTGACAGTTGGCGCATTCAGCCTCCTCTTGTGCCGAAAGCTTTTTCTTCTTAATTCTTATTTTTTCGGCACCACACATTTCTTTTTCCTCCTTCTTTCTTTTTGCTATATTTACCATCTCTGTTGCACTTGTCACAACCCTGGGCTCGGCTGAGTTCAGCCCAGACAAAACGTAGCAAACCGGTGTAAAAGGTTTTTGGATTAAACTCGCCCCAGATGGAAAGTAAACTCCTCTGCCAATCAGAATTCAGCAAAAACGATGATCAGTCCAAGTTGGGAGGGGCCGTTCGTATCCCCCCCTCAATATTGAAAGTAAAACATTCAGTAAAATCGGATCATTCAGTAAAACATTAGAAACTGAAAAATGTCAGTATTTAGGGACATTAAACCCGTTTAATCTAAGAAAAGACATATGAAACTGTAGGCTAATTGGTTGTCCCTTCTCTTGCTTCTCCAAAATCTAACTTGGACAAAACAGTAAATATTTGTATAATTTTTTTTTTAGGGGTGCTTAGATGAAATTTAGGTGTGCTCAGCGTAATATTAAGTTTTTTGTATTGTATCTAAAAATATTATTCTTCAAATATCAGGGAACTCAGATATGTGGGAGAGATTGTGCAAAAGTTTTGAACATGAGCAGAAAACCTGCTGAAACACATTCTTTTAGTTTGGATTTGGTCTCCTGAGAAAAAAGATCTTCTCTCTTCTTCTAATTTCGAATTTGTGGCACTTTTGCTGATACTAAACAACTCAGTAGAACTTCTTGTGATGTGATTCTTGGCACTATGAACGAATCAATATCGAAGAATATTGAAAAAGCTGTAAAAACAGCATTGACATATTATCACTGTGTAAAGTTGTCATGGTGATTGTCGCCCACTTACACATCCAGCAGACACAGAGCAAGATTAGTGTCACATTTACAATGACTGAAGACATTATTAAATTAAAGTTATGCTTGAATTTGATTTAACTTTCCCCTCCAATCCATTGTTGAAGATATCATGGGTAGGTTTTACAAATCTTGTAAACGCACACACATATGGTTGAATGCACATCTTCATAACAATTAATGTCATTGCTTCATGTCACCTCAACAAAACGTCTCGGGTTACATATGTAACCATTGCTCCCCGAGAAGGGGAACGAGACACTGCGGTGACGACACTATGGGAACGCCCCTGGGCGTGGCAGGGCTGAACTATGAATGAAACTACTCCAATCCTATTGGTGTTACTAGAACGATAGTGTGTGACGGCGTAACCGGAGGGGGTATATAAGCACGCCGGCACATAGGACACATTAGCCCTTTCTATGAAGCGAGGCACTCCAGGCGGGGTGAGGTGTGGCGGACCGACGCAGTCTCGTTCCCCTTCTCAGGGAACAAGGGCTACATACGTAACCCGAGACGTTCCCCTTCGAGGGAACTCGAACTGCGTCAGTGACGACACTATGGGAACGAGATACCCACTTAGGCCGCACCGAAACCCCGCCTGCCCCCAGTGTGCAGAACCTGACGGCACGACTAGGAGGAGAGCGCACGGGTGCCGGGTGCAGAATGCAGGTCCAGACTGTAAAACCAGATAAAAGTGTGAGGGGTGGCCCAGCCAGCCGCATCACACAAATCCTGGAGTGACGCCCCTGCGAGGAGGGCCCTAGAAGCCGCCATGCCTCAAGTAGAGTTCGCCCTTACAGCCATAGGTGAAGGCAAACTGCGCACCTGATAGGCCAGGGAAATAGTCTGAACGATCCAGTTGCTGATGGTGAGTTTAGAAGCGGGGAGCCCAGAAACACACCAGCAACTGTTCTGCTTTCCTCCACCGGGAAGACCTCAGAGTGTCATACTCAGTGCTCTGACAGGGCAGAGCAGATGAAGTCTCCCGTCCTCCGCCATCACATGAGGTGGGGGATGAACCTTAGGGACATAACCTGGACAAGGGTGCAGGATGGCCCTGACCCTCCCCGGGGCAAACTCCAGGCATC